GGAAACGGACGGAAATTCAAAATTTGAACCCATTTTCAGGATTTTTTACTTCCCGCCCATGACAAATTGCATGAACGAGAAGTGGAGGGCTTATTGATGGGTGTATTTCACCCAAGACCGGTCAAAGGAGGAGGACAAATCTTTGACCGGTCAATCTCGAAAGTTTTGGAAGGGAGACTTTAATCGTCAGCAAAACGATATATCATCGGCCAAAATATGACCGGTACACTTCACAAAAAGTATACCGGTCAAACTACGTTGTCATCCTATTTGTTCCAGACTTCGATAAATTCATCCCTCGGAGACTACCCGGTGTAGTTTCTGGGGTTGGAAAGTGTCGGTAGGAGAGGATCTGCGAGGGTTTGGCGTGTAGCGACCCGTGTCAGTAGAGGACAACTGGAGATGCTGAAGGATCCATCCAAGGCACTACTTGACAAAGGGAATGATCCCCTTCACAAGGCGACAAGGCAGCTTGAGGACGAAACCAATCACCTCGCACCACATCGGCAGCATGCCCCCACGTGGGCGCACGTGGTCCTGTCCCCTTAGCCTAGTATAAATACTCATGTAAACCTCAGAAAGAAGGATCCGAATTCACTCTCTCTAAACTCCCTTGTAAAAGCACCCGTGCATTCTCCGTTATAATATAAATTGGGCTACAGGTGTTCCACCTAAAGTCCTACCGGTCAATCTGCGTGTTTTTACCTTTCTTACTTTGCCAAATCAAGCGAGCTATTCTAGACCCGGTCTAGTATAGTTTGACCGGTCAAGTAATTTACACCATCAGGCCCAAAGCCCAATAACTATTTATTTTAATCGAAAAAAATTTGACTAATTGAATATTTATTCATTAAAAATTTTAGGGTATGTTTTGGGGCGTTACAGGTTGTGACATTTGATTTTAAATCTAATTTTACTGCTTAGAAAATTATTTTGTAAAACATATATTGAAACTAAATTATTATTGTGTTGGCAAATAGAGTTTCTTGATGTTTAACTTTTTTGAGATTATGCATTAACATATGTGTTATATGTAAAATTATACATTGGCATTTTTGTCATTATACATTTTCAAATGTGGCACTATATATTGTCATATTTGGCATTATCTCTTGGTTTAGCATTATGCATTTGCATGTATGACTTTATACAATGACATGATTGTCATTATGCGGTTACGTATGATGTTAAATGTAGTCTTGTTCGACATTGTATAGACATTACTGAGTTTTTATTTATTGCTTAAGAATTTTGACATATATCTACAAGGTATTAATCAAGTCTCATAGATTTATTGGTTAAAAATTTTGGCATTAAATATGTGGTCTTGTTTGACACTCTATGGGCCTGAGGCAACACTTAAAGATGATTTTTATCAAGTTTTTTTTCTCTTCCTTAAAATATCAAATAATCAAATCAGAATATTTGAGTTGTGAATTAGGATACACATATAAATATTCAGTAGCAAGGTAGAAATAGCTGTATTTGTCTATGGTACTGAGTTTTGGATGTGATTTTGTTGTCGTCCCTTGACAATGTAGTTAAAAGAATCATTTATTGACAATATTTTAACTTTGGGTAAAAAATTAGCCGGCTTAGTAGTTAGCCGTTATTTTGATAAAAAATAAATATAATGTCCTATTTTATTTTCTAACTCAAAAATATAAACTATTTGTAAATACAACCTTTTAATTCAAAAAATAGGTAATTGGGTTGATCTCGTAAAAAAGTGACTAATAGCATAAAGTTTGTTACGTCGTTAGACTTTGGTGTAAAAAGTTATGAGCAAAATAGATGTTATAATTCAATAAATAAATATAAAAATTTTATAATATAATAATAATAAATAATCAATTTCCTAATTGTTAGACCATGTATTTTATGCATAATTGTAGTATTCAGTGTGTAAATACAAACGCATGCAAGAAAAGAAATAAATCAAAGGAAGAGAGAAGACAGCGTGAGAAGAGAGAATTGAGAACAAAAATTAATTAATTACTCCTATTTAGAGGAGTTTAAGTTTTAGCTCCTATTTAGAATATAACATAACTTTTATTCCTAGTTTAGTCCTTCTCTCTTATAAAAATACATACTCCCTAGTTTTTAAGACGATTTTAGGAATTTGCTGTTAAAAGAACAACAATTTCTAAAACTAACTCATTTTTTCGGAAAATGATTTTGAAGAAATAAATTTACTCTTTTCAAACGGAGGACCCAAGTAAATATTAGTTGAGCTGGAGCGTAGCTGCAGCTAGGGTCGTTTCACGGCACACTCTCCACTAGCAACCACGCGCCGCCCAGGCATTCTCCAACAGAGGCCGCGCTGCTCGAAGTATGTGTCTTCGTCCATTCCGCTTTCTCAATCAGAAAAAACCCTAACCGAACAAATCGTCGGCACCTCTCCCCCCAAATAAGGTCAGAAACGCATTTACCTTATTATGTATATTGATGGCTGGGGAAGTATTGCATTTGGGGAGTGCTTTGTGTATGCATATGCATAGCTTTTGTTGATAACTTGATATGCATGTGCATACATTGCTGGTTTTTGCTTCCCCAATAATGCTGTCAAAGGTCAGGCTAGTATGTTTTTCAAAACAATGACCGTGATGCCAAGTTGGGCTATCTTTTTATTCTCGAAGTGGTTTTCTCACGTTTTTTAAGTTTCTCCTTATGATTAATGGTTTTCATCTTGTTTCAGTTTCATTTTCCCTTTTGTAGGTTGATTTTGAAGGTTTACCTTCCTCCTGATTTTCTGTTAGGGGTTTGAAGGGGTATATGTAAAAGGCATTGCATGTATTGAAACAAGCATATGTGTTTGTGTGTGTCCATTGTGAAAGCATTTTTCTTTCACTTGCTATCATTTTCTTACTAGTTTTGCTTTCTTTTGTTATCAGGTCATGCCAAATTTCCTAGTCTATTGCATGCTTGGACACTTGTGTATATCTATCTATTTTCATCTTCACATTTGAGAACATGTTTAGTTACAAGACTACTTCTGTATAACTCTGATTTTAGGAGTCACCCTGATTACATTTACATAATTTATTGTTTAAAGTGGGTACAATGAGTTCAGGCAGTTCTGAGAATGCCTGCTACTACTTTCTAAAATCATTTTCTACTCCATTTTAAACACTATTGTAGTTGAAAGAACATCACCTATGATTTATTAAGATTTTGCACTGTTTGGACATGGAATTTTTTTTCCAATTTCCATATGGTCCATCAAGAAATCTTCAGCTTTTTTTTTCTGCTGAAATTGGAAACCTCTCTTTCTGTGACTTAAATATTTATTTGATGGAATAAAAACAGACTCTTATGCGTCGTCGTGTCTATGCTATCATGCGACTCTCTTCAAGTGGGATGCTTATCAGTTTTATATGCTAAACTATTTTAGGTAGCTTTTCTGTGTAAATTATGGGAACAACTGATGATAGAGATGGAAGTGGTTGCTCACCTCTGCTGTCTCTAAAAAATGATTCCCTAGTTATGCCGGCTTCCCAGACAGCTCCAATTTCACAGCCAGAGCAA